ATATATATATATATATATATATATATATATATATATATTCATTATATATATATTCATTTATGAAACTATGAAAGTTGATTGTACTTTCTGCCTAGGCGGATATAGAGGGCGAATTAGGAAAAGTTGAGCCCTTGGTATCACAAGCTGCTCAAGCAGTGGCTGGCATAAGTGCCGACGCGCTGGCTGAAGTCCGTTCGTTGAGAGCACCTCCGGCACCAGTGAGAGATGTGCTCGAAGGTGTTCTTCGTCTAATGGGCATAAAAGACACATCTTGGAACAGCATGAAGACTTTCCTCGCGAAGCGAGGCGTTAAAGACGAAATCAGGTAAGCGGCAGTCATCGACCTGATTTAGTTGAGCGGTTAAGAATATTTTCTCGCTTAAACTATGCATTGAATCGTTATGGTCTAGCTTTTTCTATTTTTTTTTTCGTGATTTACAGAAATTGGGATGCGAGGCGTAGCACACCCACTAGCTTAGAAGCGGTGGCCAAGCTGGTGAAAGAACGTCCGGATAGTTTCGAGGAAAAAACGGCGAAAAGAGCATCGGTAGCGGCCGCTCCTTTGGCAGCATGGGTACTCGCAAATCTCCAATATGGTCAAATAGTGCAGCAAGTCGCTCCTTTGGAACGGGAACAACGACAATTAGCTGAGTACGTATCTCCTTTGTTGCAATTTTGACAATGAAATTCTTGCTATGTTCTTAAACGCAAGGAAGATTATTTTATCTTTTTAGTAATTCTCTTCCTCGACATGAAAATTTCCTTTATAATATTTTATATTTAATCTCTTATTAACCGTCTCTTTAACTCAATATTTACTGTAATTTTTGTATGACTTTCAAGTCGATTAGCAGCAGCCGAAGCACAATTGGACGAGTTAGCCGCTGGATTAAACACGGTGGAGAGCCGCGTGGCACAGCTGCAGAAAGAACTTGCCGAGCACACGAGGGGTGCAGCTGAGCTGCAGTTACGAACTGAATCCACCGAGGCCAGTCTGTCGACGGCTCGAGCTCTTTTGCAGAAGCTCGATACTGAGCATCGCGATTGGCAAACTCAGTTCCAAGAGTTGACAGACAGAAAAGAAAAATTAGACGTTGAGGCAGCTAATGCAGCGACTCTACTCGTATATCAGGTGAGATCAATACACTTTTTATTTAGGCATTTTAAAAATTTATCAATTTTCTCGTAAAAATATGTAGTGAATTTGTTAAAATTAGTAACATCCACCGGCGATTGATTTTTGAGACTTAATAATGGTAAACGTTCCGATTCGCGTAGGATCCTGAAAAGGACGATAACTGGAAGAAATCCGCCATGAAATTGCTAGTTACCGAACGCGAGAGATTATTATGGAGAGCACAAGGATTACCGGCGGACACGAGCAGCTTGGTCGCAGCCTCTCGCGTCTTGAAAAGTCCCTTGGTACCTATTTTCCTCGATCCTTCGGGCGTAGCTGTATCCTGGCTTAAACGTAACATCGGCTCCAGACTCGAGGTCACGCAACCTGAAAGCTCCAAATTCCTCACGGCTTTGGAGCTAGCGGTGCGCTTCGGAAAACCCCTTTTGGTCGAGGAACTAGTTGATTTCCCGTCAATATTGTTACCTCTTCTTCGCCGGAGGCCGCTCAGGCTGGGCGATCGCGTTCTGCCGGCTCAGCAAGGTTTCGAGATTTTCTTAGCCACCAGGAAGGATAGATTGGAAGATATTCCGCAGGAGGCCGACGCTGTATTATGTGAGATCATGCTCGGCACCGGCACGAAAAGCTTGGCGGAGAGATTCGTAGAAAAGGTGCGTGAAAAAACAATTTCGAATTTTAACATTCATATTTTAAGCGCGTATAAAAAATTTCTCTTTATTTCTCATACAATCACATATAATGCATTTGCATTTCAAATACTCTCGCTTACGTTCAGATAATTAACAATACTGTTCTTTAAGCTCCTACTGAACGAGACTCCGGAACTCGAGACGCAAAGAAGAGAAGCTCTGGAAAGAGAAGAAAAATTATCCGGGGAACGAGATGCGGCCAGATTGGATTTATTGAGCCAGCTAGCTACAGCTAGAGGCCAGGATCTCTTGCAGGAAGGAGGACTTCTCTCTTCGTTGGAAGCCACGCAGTCTAAAGCAAAGGAGATAGCCCTTGCTCTCGAGGAAAGCAGACAAAGTTTGAATGAAGTTACAAGGTACGTTGGCACCTTTTAAAGTTCTAACTTTCAAATATTAGGCTCAGATCAGAAACGCTAATATTAAAACTGAAAAATTATACATGATCTTTTTTTATCGTCGTTTTTTTTTTCTTAGACGAGCTAAAGATCACGAGAAATTCGCGCAGTTTGCTGCTACCGTTTACGAGACTGTCAGCGGACTGACGCTACTCAGCTCCTTATACGTCATCTCTACAGAAGCCTACACGGATCTTTGTTTAAAGGCCGTGCAGGGTGATTATATTGTGGCAGACGAAGACAGGGAGAAAAAGGAATCGCAGAGTGTAATCGAGAAACGGTATATATTTAATTGTAATTGTATAATGACCGATAAGATGTTATCATGTAATCAGTCATATCTTGCATTTCAGATTGATAACTCTGACGTATCATCATTGTGCTAAGGCGATTTACAGGAAGCACAGGCTTCCTCTGGCACTACACATGGCACTATCCTTAAATCCAGTTTCGGACGACGAGAGGAATCTCTTGTTTGACAGCAGTGGCGATTCGGACTTCGAATTGCCCAATTGGGTGCCAGATGAACGACGTGGGGCTGTGCAAGCCTTAGGTTCCTCTCTACCTGATGTAGGAAATTATTATAAATTGTTACTGTTATCGATCTCAAGATCCTTCATCTTCAAAAAATCTTAATATTAAAATTTCGCTGAAATTCGTGTCACTTTCTTTTATTATAGGTTGCCGTTAGAATGAAATCTTCTTGGCTGAAGGATATTTCCAACATTTACGCAGACAATGGACTCAGCGCCTTCCAGAAAGTCATGGTCGTGAAGGCTCTGCGACCCGACTACTTGCACACCGCTCTTTCGAAGCTGGCTGCGAGTCAATTAGGTATCACGACATACACAGAATAATATTAATGCGTGAAGGAATCCTAAGTTTGTGAATTTACCTACGAAAGGTGTAAAGGACTTGGCACCACCCTTATGGACACTGGGTGCCATAGCTCAAGAAAAAGGTTCGTATCCCGTGCTGTTGTTGTTATCGCCCGGGGCCGATCCTGGTCCCGAACTGAGTGCACTCGCTACAAAACACTCTTCGGCATCTTCTGGATTTACCGAGATTTCTCTGGGTCAAGGACACATTATTCAAGCAGAATCAGCACTAGAGGTAGCGTGCAGGTAAAATATCGTGACTCAATTAAAATTAGAGACGGCCATCTCTTCATTATCGCACGCGAAGTGATCACACGCTCGTTGTTGCTTCATAGAAACGGCAGCTGGATATTATTGAGCAACTTGCAACTTGCTCTGAATTGGTTACCGCGACTGGAAAGTCTACTTCGCTCACCAATGTGCACCACGAGCAAAAATCCTTCTACGAGGATTTGGCTAACCACCGAGGAGTGCTCGGGTTTCTATCCTGGCTTAGCGGCGCTCTGCCTGAAACTGGCATATGAACCACCCGAAGGAGTGAAGAGGAACATGAGGAAGTCGCTCCAGCAGCTTCGACAGACGCAAACCAACAATGACGGTGCGGTGGCTGTAATGGTTCTCTCTTGGCTGCACGCGACACTGCAAGAACGACGGAATTTTGTTCCTCAGGGTTGGATCAGGTCGTACGAATGGAACGACTCGGATCTCGAGGCAGCCTATGAGTTGGTGATCAAAGAAATGGCGAAGGAGAAGCAATCACAGCAAGGTATAGATTACCCCTTCACTCTTTCTCTTAATTTTTTTTTAATTTTCTAATTTTTCTCTAATTCGTGACATTTATTAACGATAGTTTATTAATAGTGCTTTACAAAGGACAATCTGCATCTTCAGTAGCTGCATATATTTCTTTCCAGAGCCAATTGTATCTCTGCTTATTATATTACTCAATTTAGTATTTTATAATTCACGTGTGAAATTGTCGATGTGAGCAGGTGATTGGCAAGTCGGTAGAGGTTTACTCGACGTCGCAGTCTACGGCGGTCGTCTTCAGGATGACTACGATGCGAGAGCGTTACGCTCGATGATACGCGACGCATGGTCCAAAGACATCTTCGAGGGTCGCCGGAAGCTAGGCGGCGTATTGAAGATAACTGACGTGACGCTTATTGATCCGATTAAATCGCTGGACAATCTGGACGATACTGATTCACCGAAGGAGTACTACGGTCTTCCGGCTAATGCTCACAGAGCATGGGAAAGGGCTGCCGCGGAGAAAGCCTTGACGTATCTCAAAGGTATTTAAATTTTGGATGAGTTCAAATAATTAATGTTTTATACGCTTGTATCTCTTATATTACACTTATCGAGTTTTCTCACAATTAATATGCCTTAAATTATCTTCTAGGCATCTTAATGAAACATCTCAGCGGTAACGAAGGAAGCAGCGATAAAGTAGAAAAATCAAGAGTTCAACAGGATCTAAAGGAAATCATCGATCGGCAGTGCTCGTCGACGTTCACGTATGACACGGGTGCGGTGCGCGAAAATAAGAGAGATCCATTACAGGACTTTTTCGTGGACGAGATCGATCATATCAAGAAATTACTGAATGTTGTACGAACAGATATGGACATGTTATCTTTCGAAGATAGCGAGGTAAAAGCAATTGTTCTTTATTTAATTTTAAATTGTATTTTCACGTATATTTCGTCCTAATAATTAGTGCAGCTTTCATTTGTATCGTTATAGCAATCAAATTTGAATCGTTAATTAGAGCAGTAATTGCTATATGATGCTATTGCTAAATTAATATACTGTGACATCATTCTATCAATATTATAAAATTTGTCATAATGACGATTTCTAATTGTTTCTTACAATATTACAGACTCCCAAACATTGGCTTACGGAGTGGCGAGCTGGGCCGAGGAATGCCGTTCAATTCGTGAAGGCACTCTTGTCCAAGTACGAAGCGCTGAAATCCTCACCGATGAGTATACCACGTAGAGTCGATCTATCTCAATTATCTCGACCCCGCGCTCTTCTAACTGCGCTGAAGCAATACACCGCGCGAGAACTTGGTCATCCGCTGGAAGTACTTCAACTCTGCGCAAACTGGACCGAGAATCGAGCGAACAGGGATTGGAAGGTGTCACTGTCACTTGAAGGTCTACTTGTATCAGGTAATTTCAGCCAAGAAATTCTAATATCCATATAGTATCCATATATAACGCCAGGAAATTGAAAACAAACTATGCTTCATCCGAGGATTATGACATATGATAATTTTTTATATTTGCAGGTGCTTCGATCGAGGAAGGCGCGCTGAGGGACTTGGACGCAAACTCGCCGGCAGTTGCGGTCGCTCCGACGTGTCAAGTGGCGTTCATGCCCGACGAATATTCGGAAGATAAGTCCGGTGATGATAATTTCAACGCTCACGAGGACATGCATCCGAAAGATCACTTAAGTATACCGGTTTACGCAAGCGTTCAACGGGAGACTCTAATCTGCTCGTTACCGATAACATGTCCGAGAGAGGAGCGCGACGCGTGGTTACGTCGTGGCGTCATTCTGTATCTGAGATCTTAGCGCAATCATCTCCAATCTCGGAGCCAATGATGAAGATTCAGGATGAATCGCGACCGGCGTATAAAACGTTAAAGTAGATCTCTCATTAAGATCTCCAATGAAAATCGGTTGTGGAAGAGAGCGTCGAGATATGAATAATTTCTTACAAGTGGTATATATAAGACAAAGATATACATTCTTTTTAGGTTTCAAAGAGATACGATAGATAAGTTTCTACAAGTGTTTCTTTGTTTTTTATTTAAATTTAGATGGAGATTATTTCAACAGAATTCCCATCAGGTATAATCACTAAGATATATAATGTTGAGAATTTAAAGAGCACATACACATAATCTTTTAACGTTTATCTATAAAGATTTCCACTAGATCTGAATGATCAATCGTGCCATATCACTCATGCAATAATTATAAATCTCTTCGTGTAAAGTGTGAACAGTTTAAAAAGAATTAATACTATTTAGATATAAGACATTCCATGAGAAACGTAAGTTCCTAATCTGTACAAAACCTTAAAACTTTGATTGTAATATGCTACTTATTTATTTATTTATTTATTATTCGGATATGATTTATTGATAGATAAATATAATTATATATATATATATATATATATATATATATATATATATATAATTAAATATATATATAATATATATAATAATTATATATATATATATAATATATAATTAAATATAATTTATTGATTTTATAATTAGAATTTTGTTTAATTGGACGAAAGATGAGGGAAAAAAATATATACCACATGTCAATGCATCAAAAGCGTGAATTGAATAATTTTAATATGCTTATTATTATTAAAAATACATTGAGAGAAATATATCGGGAATTTGTTGGAAGATAATCTTGTACAGGATATTCACTATCGCGCCAAATCTTATTTATGAATTCTTCGATTAATTTGGTGCCGATTTCCCGCTGATGTATTACACGGGATGTCACAAGAACTGTTCAATAACTTTGGATATTTCGTTTTAATAGATCTAAAATTACAGATAATACAGCACAATATCAGTTGTTTTAATAAAATAAAATGGTCATTGATTGGTCCGCCTAAGCCTATTCCACGACTTAGAGATTCGCAATATTCATACGATGTTTTACACACCGCACAAAACACGCGAGTCGTATAATCTGACAGATGAGTATATTATCGATATTCACATAAAGCTGTACCAGTTTTTATTCCATATAAAATAAAAATGATTGTGAGTTTGTCTAACAATTTAGTAATGACTAAATCTCTCTGCCTATCTTCTTTTATACATATAAAAACATTCGGAGGAATTTCTCTGACAGAGGAATGAACAAGCGAATGGACTGATTTTTATCAAATTGTTGTAACTTGAATCTATGTTACTTAACATTTTATAGCTTCTTTTAATAAGACTGGACGACACACATTGAACATGCTGATGCTTCGAAATGTCGCATCTTATAACAAATATGTGAAATCAATGAAACTAAAAGCAAACATAATCATTAGATACTACTTACAAATAAAAATAGATTTTTAACGTAATGAAAGGACTTATTTAATTATGAGACGTTTACTACTAAAGTTGAACGATGTCTTATAAACTAAAAATAAATCTACGCTCCATTAAAGTTTTTGTCACGGAGACGTAACCCATGGACGATGAAAAGATCTTTCGAAAATTATAAAATATCGTTATTTTTATACATGAGATAGTAATAAATCACACGTGTTCTGTCGTCCAGTATACGCAAATACAACGAACTTTAAAATCACAAACACGAAGTAACAAGACTCTATCATAATATCGATTATAAATTATCTATACGACTTGTAACTTTCACAGGAAATATAGGAAGAATTTAACGTTAAGGATTTATCATTCGTACGAGAACAAACGAGACGCAATCTTAAACAAGAAAAAGAGACAGGGAGAGAGAGAGGGAGAGAGAGAGAGAGAGAGAGAGAGAGAGAGAGAGAAAGAGAGAGGAAACGGAATAGAAAAGAATGGACGGGAAGGAAGTAATAGTCGCGGTGCGAGCGCCGGCTCATGCCGAAATGTCGTGATTGTCGTCAATTTATTGCTCTAAAACTTAAATTGAGATTTGCAAGCCGAGCCGGCAAGCTCATCGCCGCGAGAAGCGTCACTATATATCGAGGAAATTCTTTTAATCTCCTTCTTTCTCCTTACGTCGGGCCTGATGTCATCTCCGAGAACTGAAACTGGTATAATTTCAGTGAGCAAAAGAATTCCGATGCTATGGGCAAGCGAAAATGATATCCACGCTTATTTGCATCAATAAAGAGGCGATCAGGTTCGCGTACGTGCATCCTCGTTTTATCTACGTCATCGAGAATTGATTACTCTATGAAATTATACCGGTTTCAATACCCGATGGTACTGTACGTAAAACCAACGTTACTCTCTTTCGTTATTCATTTTTTTTTCTTCTTCGACATGCGATACACGCGTATTCCCGAGATAATGTGCGCGCGAAATACTCTCACACGCCTTACAACGATTCTTAATTATACATATCTTTCGTTTTAACTTCAGTATCTTTTTTTATCCGATAATCGACGATGGTACAACAGGTACGGACCGCGAAAGGCATTTCTCTTTTAATACTTCAAAAGAGCGGTAAAGATATACGCTTGATGTCCCATCATGTCGCGTACTTCTCTCTTCAACGAGCGCGCAGTCAATCTCTTTTAATGAAAATCAAGTCGAAGTCATTTCCTACATTAGTTGTCTCGATAATCAAGCCTGAGACGTAAAATCGCTATTAAAATAAATTTTTCTCAAGAAGACACTCAAAGACTGTTTGTTAGCTATTTACATAATTATGTATCCTTGACTCGCAGTATGTGTAAGACATGTATTCTCTGAAAGAGACGCGCGACGGATAGGACATCAACACTCGATAGTTTCAGTACACTATATACTTTGCCTCGAAGTATCAAGCATTTCCGACTTCGAGGAGGGAATCGTAGAGATCGTATGACCTCAGAGACAAAAGCTTTGCTGAGAGTACACATATCTTGGAGTCTCGAGGACTCTACTTGAGATTGAAATAAATTTTGATACTTTTAACAATCACTTTTCGCGTATTATTTCGCGCTCAACATTAAGTTCTCAACATACAAATCAACTTTTTAAATATTCGATATAATTCACTTCTCGATTTGTTTTCAATAGGTAGCGCCACCTCACAATGAAAGAACATTTATAGAATTTAAACACCGCCCTGGAAAATAGAGTTTATATTTAAACTGGGCGCCAATATATGCATAGTAAGTTTTAATAACAGAGAAGGGAAATATATATATATATATATATATATATATATATATATATATATAT